TCTTAAATTACTATAGTTTAGCTTTGGATTATAGTACTTTTGATTCGGACTGTACTTTAAAGCTGGGTTACTGTACTCTTTGGGTTCGGGTTATTGTACTTGGAATCAGTGAGAATTCGAGTAAAGTAACGAGTCAATGAGATAAAGAGACGATAAAATATTGAGATCCATTTCCATTTTCCCCCAGTGTACACCATTGTAGCCGTAACCGTTCACTAAATATTCAAATGTTGAAAAAGAACCCGAGTCATGAAAGAGTGAGACTGAGTCATGAAAAAGACAAAAGAAAAGAGACAAGGAAGCGGCACTATCAGTTTAAAAAAAAAGACGGTGATTCAGGAGAAAACAAACATGAAAATAGCCTTTCACTCACACAAAAAACTTCTAGAAAACGGGATTGATTCAAAAAAGATGAGAAGAATATTTTTTTGAGAAGTTTTTGAGAAGTTTAGCTAATTGTTTTGGGAATATCAATTCATTAAAGGATTCGTTACTTTTTAGGCATTAAGCTGTGAAAATTGCTGTCAAATTTGCTGTAAAATTAGCTGTAAAATTAGCTGTGAAATTGCGGTGAAATTAGCTGTGAAATTAGCTGTGAAATTAGCTGTGAAATTAGCTGTAAAATTAGCTGTAAAATTAGCTGTAAAATTTGACAAAGTACAGTACCCTGGAGAACTTGTCTACAATCAAAAATACAATCAAAAAACGTATCCAACTTTAGCCACAACATTTGACATCAGATTTTTAGTCTTTCAATCCCAAAAAGCTTTTTCTTTTTGCCATCAAAATAAGGACATCCATTTTTCACTAAAGTTTCTGCTGAAGCTGGAAATGAAAGGTTTAAAAAGTGGGGGAAAAGAGCGAAAAATGGATGGGAAGAGCAAAACAAGTGGGGGAAGAGAAAGAGGAAGAAGAAAGAGAAAGAAGGGAGAAGAAAGAGGAGGAGAAAGAGAAAGAGAAAGAGGAATAGAGGAATTGAGGAAATTCCCGTCACATTTGTGTCCACTAGAATGGGCGTTTAACGGGTGAAAGGGGAAAGGAAAGAAGGAAGAGGTCCTCAGGGTCCAGAATCCTCACCGCCTTTTTAGGGATGTAGCCGGTGGATGTCCCCCAGGGTAGAAGTGTTTTTCATATTGTAACCAAGAGTGTATCTAATGCATCGAGCTTAGATGCAGAGCCAAGAGCTTAGAGCATCGAGCTAGAGCCAAGAGTTCAATATGGTGGTCATTATTGTTATTGACTGTTATCCTTCTTCACCCGGGTTCACCCGGGTTCACCAAACTATTTACCATTTACCATTTAACTAAACTGATTTAGTAATTTAGCATTTAGCAACTTTGCTAATGGCTAAATGTTAAATTTGTTAAATTTAGGAAACTCTTGAGACTGAAAAGTTGAGGTCAGAGAGTTTTCCCCTCTTTAAAGGATATAAAGAAAAGTTAGCAGTTGGTGAGGGCCCTGGCTCAGCTTGTCCCAGGCCCTGGCCCAGCTTGTCCCAGGCCCTGGCCCAGCTTGTCCCAGGTCCTGGCCCAGCTTGTCCCAGGCCTTGGCCCAGCTTGTCCCAGGCCTTGGCCCAGCTTGTCTTACAAAGTCACCAAATTTCCCTGATGAAACAAATAACCGATCATAAAGAGAATTTAAAAGGGTTGTAACCGGTGAGAGATTTCCCCAGGGGAGAATGGCCATCTTTTTCATCTCGAGAGCCTTTCAGCCTTCCGCCTCCCGTACTAGCAACACTCGCTCTTTCCCTAAAAGGCCAAAAGGCCAAAAGGCCAAAAGGCCAAGAGGCCAAAAGGCTAAAAGGCTAAAAGGCGAAACATTAGCGTAGAATAAAATCCGAATTTTTCTTTTCTTGAAACCATAGGGAAAAGGCGTGAAAAGCTTCAGCCTCTTGGGACTGAAAAGTTGAGGTCAGAGAGTTTTCCCTCTTCAAAGGAGATAAAGAAAAGTTGTTTCCAGAGATTCTCCTCTGGAAACAAATTTTCTTTATATCCGTCGATAGAGCAAGCAAAAGGTAATCAAAAGGTAAGCAAAGATCTTTTGCTTATCTGCAAAGACTGCTGAACCGTCGATCTTTTGCTTAACTTTTGCTTGCTCTACCACTGAGCAATCTGGACTCAAGTTGACAAGAGAAAGAAGGGAATACAAGAAAGGAAGCAAGGAAGGAAGAAAGGAAGGAAGAAAGAAAGAAAGGAAGAAGAAATAGAAGGAAATCTAAAGGAAATTCAGTCGTTTTGCACTAAATATGTCTGATAAAACTTTGTTAAAAGATGTTAGATCTAAATACTAGTTCTAGTTCTAGTTCTAGTACTAGCTCTAGTTCTAGTTCTAGTTTTAGTTCTAGTTCTAGCTCTAGTTCTAGCTCTAGTTCTAGCTCTAGTTCTAGCTCTAGTTCTAGTTCTAGTTTTAGTTCTAGTTCTAGCTCTAGTTCTAGTTCTAGCTCTAGCTCTAGTTCTAGCTCTAGTTCTAGTTCTAGTTCTAGCTCTAGTTCTAGTTCTAGTTCTAGTACTAGTTCTAGCTCTAGTTCTAGTTCTAGTACTAGTTCTACTTCTAGTACTAGTTCTAGCTCTAGTTCTAGTTCAAGCTTTAAAAGATAGAAAAAACAGGAGAACTTTTAGCTTTCTTGATATCAAGTGTATCAAGCTTTCTCCTATCCCAAGTTACTCGACAGCTGTCTAAAGAGAAAAGATTGAACAGTGATATTGCAGTAAAAGGGAAAGAAGGAATCTAGATTTTAGTGAACAAATTACAACAAACATTTTGATTGATATGTATACAAATGACAAAAAAGAACTGATACTCTTATCCAGATCTTAACTTGGCTGTTCTGGTCTTAACTTGGCTGAAAACTTTGCATTTATATCCTTTAGTTATCTTTTCTTTGATGATTTGAATGTAAATAATACTTGAAACACTTTTATTTTAACACCCAACTTAACTCCGCCCCTTTTTCAATCCGTTTTGCCATTGGCAATCTACGAATTTTGCTCGTATCTTGATTGGGTTTATTTGTAAAACGTTAAATTTGCTTTTATTTACTTTTATTCGATTCGAAATCAAATTTTCTATCAAATAAAAGTAAATTCAACGTTTTACAAATAAACCTAAACAAGATATGAGCAAAATTCGTAGATTACCAACGACAAACGGATAGAAAAAGGGATCGGAGTTAAGTTGGGTGTTAAGATAAAAGTGTTTCAAGTATTATTTACGTTTAAATCATCAAAGAAAAGATAAATAAAGGATATAAATGCAAATTTTTCAGCCAAAAACACATAAATATTGATCAGAATTAAAGGAAGAACGTCAAAAACACAAGTTTCTAAAAGAATTCATTGCAAACAAGGGGTTTTTTCATGAAAGAAGTGATCGGTGACAAGATCTTCTTTCGAATGAATGATCTTTCTTCGCCTTTCTTTCCCTTTCTTTCCCTTTCTTCCCTTTCTTTCCCCTTTCTTTCCCTTTTTCCCCCTTTCTTTTCCTTCCGATCGGCGCGCTTCCGTCAAAAAAGTCGATCGTTTTGATTCCTTTTTCTTTTCTGTTTCTGCTTCTCGCCTTTTTTCTTTTCTTCTTTTCATCTGGATCATCTTCTTTTGTTTTCATCATGAAAAACCGTATTTTGTGCTCTCAAAAATGCACAGTTTCTGGGGCATTTGCTCAAGAATTGCTGGCTAACTCGTGTACCAATGTACGTTGCGTTTCTAGAAGCTAAGTCATCCAATGGTGTCCAAAATCCAAGGTACAAATCATCCAATTCGTTTGAAGCTTTGCTTTGTGTTGTTTCTTGAGATGTACTTTGGACTTTAAAAGTCTAAACTTGTCGTTTCTGAGCGAAATAATCAAATCCTTTCAATATTCTTCTCATTGTCTCACTTCGCTGATCTCTTCTCAATGATCTCTTCTCATTGATCTCTTCTCTTCTCACTGATCTCTTCTCGCTCATCTCTTCTCACTGATCTCTTCTCATTGATCTCTTCTTACTGATCTCTTCTCTTCTCACTGATCTCTTCTCACTGATCTCTTCTCTTCTCATTGATCTCTTCTCCCTGATCTCTCCTTCTCGTTGTCTTCCTTCAGTGATCTCTATATTTTTGGATTCTCTCCAGTGTCGATTCAATTCTTTCCGAGTCCACAAATAAGTCGGTGAACAAACGCAAAACGATTATCATACGCAACAAAAAAAAGCAATTGAGTGAAAAGAGAAAAAAAGTGATCGAATGGAACGCCATTTTTTTACAAGTGAATCTGGTTTTAAGCAAAAGAAAAACTAAGTACGTATTTGTACTGTGTACAGTAGTGTAATCTAAATAGTAGTACGGATAGTCGGCTTCCTGTGCATAGAACTTGCCCTAGAATACGATCTTTGAGGCACTAGTGGCGTACTAGGATTACTGTAGTAAAAATCGTACAATAATGGTATTTTAGCGTGCTTATAAGCTTACTGGATGTTGAGTATCACTGGTATTGTAGCGTAATAGTACTTAGCGAGTAGTGTACCACTGGTAGTAGTAGCGTAGTAGCTGTACTGTAAGCGTAGCGATACTTAGGCTAGCTTATTAGCCTAGAAATGTCTAGGCTAGCTTACTGTAAGCGTAGCAATGCCTAGGCTAAGCATAACTATACTTAGGCTAGCTTACTAGCCTAGCAATGTTTAGGCTAAGCATAACTATACTTAGACTAGCTTACTAGCATAGGAATGCCTAGGCAAGCTTACTGTAAGCGTAGCAATGCTTAGGCTAAGCATAGCTAGGCTAGCTTACTGTAAGACAAATCCCTAAACTTTCGAGCACGCAATCACGTGACAAATCTCAAAGATTTGCATTGACAAGTCGATTGACAAGTGACAAGACAAATTCCATTCATAAACTCAGGTTTTATCCCAAAATCAGTGCCCAAATTGGTGCCCAAATTAGCGCTCAAGTTGGCGCCCAAATCGGTACTCAAATCGATTCCCCCAAAAACCATTCCAATCGTCGACCCTTTTCTTATCAACTTTGCTATGGGCAATTTGTCGTCCTGTACACCAATTTTATGGCACTCAACGAGAGTGATTAGAGGCACAAAAACAACCGACTAATGGAGACTCTTTTCGAGGGATTCACAAATATCTATTCTATCAAATAGTCAAACCTCTATAAGTACTAATTTTAACAACAAAAACGAAGGCAAGCTACTTGTGCTTGTTTCTGAGTGCTTGCTTTTCAAGATTATGCTTAATGGCTTGCATTTTGTTGAGTTTTACTGGCAAAGTCAAAGTCAGTTTTACTGGAAAAGTCAAAATCCAACTTTTTTATATGATTAAGTATCAAGTTAGGCTTACTATAGCTTTCCAAAAATTCTACAGTAAGCTCGGCTACTCTGGAAAGCTCTACAGTAAGCTCGGCTACTCTGGAAAGCTCTACAGTAAGCTCGGCTACTCTGGAAAGTTCTACAGTAAGCTCGGCTACTCTGGAAAACTCTGAATGTCAAACGTAACTCCCTGAATAACTTACTCGAGGCTTACTGTAGCTTTGCAAAGCTTTTCTCTAGGTACTTTAGCCTTGAATAACTAAAAATAAGGCAAAATTTCAGGATTACTGTAATTTTTCAAGGCTTTACAGTAAGCCAAGCTTTGGATGATCTTGAATGATGATCTGGATGATCTAAAATTAGCCCTGGATAACTAAAATTAAGCCAGGATTACTGTAGGGACTAATTATTAGGCCAGTTAGTAGCCAGAGATACTGTAACTGTTACCGTAGCCAGGCATACTGTTACCGTAAACAGACTGCTTGCCAGCGTAGGCAGGCATACTAGCTGTTAGCTTAGCTAGGCATACTAGCTGTTACCGTAGCTAGGCATACTGTAGCTTCGACCGTAGCCAGGCATACTAGCTGTTACCGTAACCAGACTAGCTGCTACCGTAGCCAGGCATCATGTAGCTGTTACCGTAGCTAGGCATACTGTAGCTTTTACCGTAGTCAGGCATACTAGCTGTCTGTTAGCTTAGCTAGGCATAATAGTTGTTACCATAACCAGACTAGCTGTTATCGTGGCTAGGCATACTGTAACTGTCCCCGGATTGTAACCAAACTTATAGAGGCTTGACTGTGAATGTAACGTTGCCACAAACCTGGCCGTATCCTTGTCATCTCGATCACTCGCTGTATACTTTGCAATGAAATGTCCCCTTTTCGCATCTTCTTTTATCGTCTTCTCTGTCGGCCCATCTATCACCGGTGCGTGATCGTTTCGATCAAGCAGCTCAATCTCGAGTCTCGTTCTCGCTTCGTGAATCCCATCCGACACTTTTACTTCCAATTGATATCCACCCCTTTGTGTCGCGTCCTCATAGTCGAGGGGCTAAGAAGTTACAGTAGGATACAGTATTTAGTATAGTGGTCTTTCTAAGGATTAAGCTAGATTTACACTAACTTTTCTCAGCTTTATTTTGTCTTTTGAAACTTTTTCGAGTTTTTGCAACGGTTCTGGTGATTCTTTGGGTACTATTTATGGTTTAGATCCGATTTCCGAAAGAGTAACATAAATTTGAGATGTAAAAAAGGCAGCTTGCCCATTGGGATGCCAGTTTTGCGTGTTGACTCACTCCTCTAGATGGAGCTCAAAGATCAGCTCAAAGATCAGCTCAAAGATAAGGTCAAAAATGAGCTCGAAGATGCTCTAAAATGATCAAAGTTCTGTTTTTCACTATCGTCATCCAACAAGTGCCCCTTTTTGGCCAACTGGTGGATCGGGATGAATCAAAGAGTCCTTTCAGAGTGTCAATTAGTCCCAGAGTTATCAATTGACACCGGCATCTTGATCTGAGCCGGCAACACACAACCAACAGAATCTTGAGCCCGCAACACACAACCAACAGAATCCATCAAAGAACAGAATACGCAAAAACGCTGTACGCTTTTGTTCTATTTATTCGCTGAATAAATAGAAAGAGAGTTTGGATAAAAAAGGGAAAAGACATTTAATTGATCGATGGATAAATTGGATACAATCGAATATACAATCGAGTTATCAAAACCTATGTTAGCTTGATCTTGGAATTGGACCCGAGCAAGAAGGGGCAAAACTTGGCCTTGATACAAGCCTTAACTTGGCCTTGATACAAGCCCATTGCTCTGCTAGTAAGCTAGTCTAAGTTATGCACTACAGCACCAAGCGATCTTTTCGACCAGTGTGTGGAAGACATGCTTTTGTCAAATATTCAAGTCTAGAAGACAAAAAATAAAAACTGCATCGGATTCTTCGTGAAATTGTCAGCTTTAAAAGCTCTATAAGCTGGTCTGAGTCTCGTTTTAAAAGGCCATCTTGAGTTCATGTCTCTCCTTAGTCAGTTTTTTTACACTCAGCTTTGTGGATCAAATCGCTTGAAATCCGAGTAGAAAAATGAAAGAGGAGATCAGTGATTCATAAAGGAAAATATTATAGATAGAAATGATAGAAGAAAATGATGAAATTAGAAGATAATAAAGAAATGAGAAGATAATAAAGCAAGAAAGGTAAGGAAATGAAGAAAAAACAAAGAAAAAACAGAAAAAAACAGAAAAAACAGAAAGATTTACACTTTTTTGAAAATGGAAAATTGGAAAGAATGGCCAAAACTAAAAGGAAACAATGGCCAAAATTTGCATACGAATCTATTGAATTATAAAATGAAAAAAGGAAAATGGAATTGTTCAATTTGGACAGCTGTTTATTTTCAAATGAGATTTCATTGTTTTTGAAAAGAAAGTGAATGGGAAATTGTGAAAATGTAGACACTTAACTCCCTCTAGACCAAAGGGAAACCAAGTGCCGCTGTGGTGCAACGGTTAGTACGCTTGTCCGGTAATCGAAAGGTCGGGGGTTCGAGTCCCAGCAATGGAGAAATTTTTGATTTCCTTTTTCTAACTAGAAAAAAGTTTACAGCTTATTAAGAAACATTTAAAGCTTAACGTTTTAAATTTAAAACGTTGAGCTTTAAATGTTTGCTATGAAAAAGAAATTTGAAATGAAATGGCATTAAAGTAAAGTAAATCAGTGAAAATTGATTTGTAAAAGCAGATTTGTAGTTTACTGGTGATGAAAGGACTTAAAAGATTTCAGAGATAGTTTCAGAGAGATTTTAAGGCTTAGGCTTAGGCTTAGGTTCATTAAATTCGAAAGATTCAATTTTTGTAACACTAAACGACCCGTTCGATGAGTGTTCTAAATCATTGAGAAAAGGGGATCCAAGGGAATTCAAAGGGAAGCCAGCGCCTTCCTCAGAGTCTTCCCAGCTCGTAAACTTGTCCCTTATTAATGCCCCTTCCTCTCTTCTCCCTCTCTTCTTCCTCTCTTCTTCCTCCCTTCTTCCTCCCTTCTCCCTCTCTTCTCCCTCTCTTCTTCCTCCCTTCTTCCTCTCTTCTTCCTCTCTTCTCCCTCTCTTCTTCCTCTCTTCTTTCTCTCAATTCTCATTTTGTTTGGAAAAGTGCCGAAAATTGGCCATCAAAGACTCAAAATCGGTTTTGCGAAAGCGTCAGCTGACCCCTTTATTTAGCGAGTTTTTTTTTTCGAAATTTATCACAAATTAGCGATCATTTGACGCATTATTTAAAAAGCTTTAACGCTTTTAACGCATTAGAAACTTATCTAAAAAGTCGCCAAAAGATTTGTCCACTTAAATCGATAAACTTGTCAATTGGAGTATACAAAAAGTGTTGCGGTAATCTTGAGTTCGAACTTTGTTTCTTGCGTAATCTTGCGTAATCTTTAGTTGTTTCTGAGGGGAATCTTTCCGAATTTTCCGTTTTTCTGAAAGCCTGGTTCAAATCTCTTATTTATCTCAAAGAAAAAGGAAAAAAGAGACTTCTGATCAATTCTTCAAGGTCTATTCTATTCAAGATCAAGGTCTTCAAGGTCTATTCAAGGTCTTCAACTCCACCCACAGACCAGACCTAAATCCCCAATATAAAGTGAAAGAAAGAAAAGATGTGGTGAAAAGAAAAGAAAACGTAAACTTTGTGAACAATTTGGACTAGAGAACAGAGAACAGAGAGAACCACTTGGCTTTTGAGGGAAAGACGAGGAGAACAATGAAATTTCTATGATTTATGGAAATCGAAGTAAAAGACACTTGACGCTGGATAAACATTGGATTGTGGTGGAAAGGACACTTGGAGCTGTGGGGTTATACTTGGATTGGATTGGAATGGATTGGAATGGATTGGAATGGATTGGAATGGATTGGAATGGATTGGAATGGATTGGAATGGATTGGAATGGATTGGAATGGATTGGAATGGATTGGAATGATTGGAATTGATTGGATTGGATTGGATTGGATTAGAATTGATTGGAATTGATTGGAATTGATTGAATTGGATGGGATTGGATTGGAATTGATTGGATTGGATTGGGGTTGATTGGGTTTGATTGGAATTGATTGGATTGGATGGGATTGGATTGGATTGGAATTGATTGGATTGGATTCGAATTGATTGAAATTGATTGGAATTGATTGGAATTGATTGGAATTGATTGGATTGGATTCGAATTGATTGGATTGAATTGGAATTGATTGGATTGGATTGGAATTGATTAGATTGGATTGGATTGGATTGGATTGGGGTTGATTGGATTGGATTCGAATTGATTGAAATTGATTGAAATTGATTGAAATTGATTGGAATTGATTGGAATTGATTGGAATTGATTAGAATGGATTGGAATGGATTAGAATTGTTTGGAATTGATTAGAATTGATTGGAATTGTTTGGAATTGATTGGAATGGATTGGAATGGAATGGATTGGATTGGTTACTTGAAAGTGCTAGTAGAAGGTGCTGCGGACACAGTTGGATAGGTCAAGAAGTAGAATTCCTCTTAAATGCTCACACCAGACGGCGTGTGCTTACACAGGCAGTGAAAGCACAAAGCACAAATTTCGCAAGAAACATGCTTATCCTTTTTTCCCATTATCACAATCTTAGCTTATAGTTTAGCAGTCTACTGTGCTATTAGTTTGAAAAGAAAGTTTCGTAGTTCGTAGAACGAGTTTACACGAGTGTTTTCTCTTAAATGCTCGCACCAGACGGCGTGTGCTTACACAAGCGGTGAAAGCACAAAGTACAGGCAAAGAAAAGGTGCATAAAGGCTTTAATTGCATAAAAAGTCTATAAAGAATTGTATAAACAATAAAAAGAACACATTTTACAAAGGTTTACAAGGGATTAGCGCTATTTTAAAGCTCTATACGAAATTTTCTAAAATAATAAGTAGCCAATTACTAGATTGAGCCTCAAAATTTCATAAAAAGAGTCAAATCTGGAGAAAATCTTTGGCAAAATCCGGGGATAAGATTATTTTTGGAAAACTGAACTAATATTTTTCTCTTTTTTTTCTGATTTTTCCCATCCGGGGGCTATAGAAAAAAAGAAATTTGGCGGGAAAAGCGAAAAAAGAGTCTTTTTGATAGTGTTTTGAGATAAAAGAACAGCTTTTAGACTGAAATTTCAATCTGAATTTGAATCTGGATTTAGAGCTGAGCTAGAATTGCTTTGAATTGATCGAATTGATAAAAGAGATTCAATTTTTAAAGCTGCTGAAGCTTAGGTGGCCTTGTGACGAGGTGTTCTTTGTGCGGCCGTGTAATCGCTCTCTTTCTGGCACCCCAACCCGCTAGATATTCAGCAATTTTCAGAGAAAAGTTTCCAAATTCATCAAAAAGTTTAAACCAATTAAACTCGAGTTTTCATTGGTTTGAATGAATAAAATGAATATCTCCAATCGATTCACCGACCCTGAAAACCCTAGGGTATAAATTTAAAGCTGAATATCTTCTTTTTAAGCCATTTACAAAGCGAAAGGAGAATCATTGTGCTACTGACGATGTGTTCTTTGTGCGGCTTTGTAATCGCTCGCTTTCTGGCACAGGAGCCCGATAGATATCTAGGTGTTCCCTCTTGGGAAGAAGGGAGCCACTGAACCGTCTTCATGCTCGATTTGATTCGTATTTACGCAGCCCAGCACACGACGGTCGTGGCGCAGTGGATAGTGGGGCAGGGGGCTCGATCGACCGGATCGACTCCCTGGTGGCGGGTTCGAATCCCCCAGTCGGCAGATTCTGACTTTCTTTTTCGGAAAAACTTTTTTGAGTGTCAAGGTCTTAGATTACTTAGAAATTGCAAAATAAATGGCAAAAAGAAAATCGATTATTGCTTTAGGTCAACAAATTTATTGAATTCATAAAGGAAATGCAAAAAGTGATGAGGAGAAGAGAGATTTCTAAGGAGATCGGCGCTTACGATGTCATAAAATCAGCAGGGGAAAAGATGGGATTGAGGGAAAGCACAACCATGAAAAGCTGTATTATGAAAAGCTTTATA